CAAAATTATCAATGAACGTACTCACTTGATAGACCGCAAAAGGACGCCATACCGGCGAACAGAAGAGCACACGCTCGCAACATCTGAAATTTTCCAACAATAAAGAACAGAAAAACTTCTCCAAGATAAAACTCAGAATAACTGTGCGAACCCCACGGCTGCAAGTGTTACTGTGGCTAATTCGAGTAACTATGAAAGAAGGCGTCAACTCTTTGGAATGACGGCGTTCTCCGTTGTAACATAATGCCTAAACGTGAGGCTTAAGTTTCGTTGACTATGTTAAAACAAAAAGATGACAGAGTAGTTTCCTGTTTCAATCGAGAATGATGTTAGTGTCAACTGTCAGCTTGATTAGATGAACATATCGCTGTATCTACGTCAAATCTGATAGAAGTGTTTTTGACGCAATCGCCGCAAAATTTGAAGTATGAAATAACCACATTTTCACTGCTAAAAGTATATTAATTATTTTTAAACAGTGTAATGGCCTTTGTATGCTTTTCAAAAGTCTTTTGATGTCGACTTTAAACATTTAACCAAATGGGAGCAAACATGTCAAAATTAATTGTTAAATATTGTTTTCGCCGGATTTGCCAGGTTTGAAGGTCAGTCTGGATCAATCATACTGCATGTGATGTGGTATTTCGAACATCTCAAAATAAAGATATTTGTTCCTGTTTACACCCCAGGTGTAAGGAAATGAGAATTTGATAAGTTAGTGAGGACAAAAAAGAGAAGGTTACATTCTTTGACTAAGCGTTGTAACTGCGGGGCAAAAGAGATCTGCCATGGAATTTTCTAGGCGTTAACCTATTGTTCCTGGAAATTACATAAACAATAAATTTAATTCATACGATGTTACTATTTTTGTGCGGGCTAAATCTTCATTATCTTGAAGTTAATGGATCTGAAGGTGCGAAGAAGAACAAAGAAAGCTGGTCACAGCGGAGCAATTAAGAGCCATTTGCGACGATTTTTACAATCATGATCTCAGATAATTATACCTTCTCGATTCGAGAGCGGAAATTAGGTAATATTGTTTTGGGTTAAGGACTGTTTTCTTGGCAAACTTTGAAGAACGTGCGATAGATTGATTTCAGGGCAGATCTGTTCACTGATCCAACCCCACACGGCCGCTCGGAATAGTAAAATAATAAAGTGTTTATCGTTTTCTCCAACTCAATACTTTGACAGAAACAAAATGAAGTCAGCTAAGCCGACCATAGTTCAACTTCAAAGCATGCAGCACTGGTTTGCGTCGCCACACGTGATAGCAAAGGTCGGATCGCGGTTTTGTTGAACACCCGTGAGTCCGGCTAGCGGGTCAGAGAAAATTGTAGGAAATGGGTTTCTGCAGGTGCAAAGGATCAAAAGGATATCACTCCATTCCTTAACTTCGTACGGGGCTAATGTTTAGCAAGTGGTTTGAATGAGAGGTTATCTAACTCAGCTGGTTTTCATGGGAATTTATCATACATGCACTTAGCCCAGGAAATCAAATGTTTGAAATGTTCTATCCGGTTTGTTTTTTCGACCCATGCAAAATATGAAAACAAAAGCGGGATGCAGGAGTTTGTAACTAGCTCGATGATTCTCTCGCTCTAAACTATTAGGAACCCATTTTTAACTAAAAAAAAAATGCGCCTTTCTATTTGCTAATCACAAATCTGTATGGCAGAGAAATTGGTAACACGCAACGCGCACGTAGCGGACTCTTTTTATTGCAAGCAAGAATATAAACACGATTACGTCGACTAAGCACGCACTGCGCGAGAGAAGTTTGTTGAAAGTTTGGAGCATGCTTAGAACAAGTCAGTAAATAGCTTACGAATTTCTAAGTGCAGCTTCAAGGAGAACGATTTAATGACTCGGCAGAGAGGATTCCCCCTATACACTTTAGGTACTAAGGGTTGAACAACAGATTAGCTTTATCCGACGAATCCTGTCAGCTAACAAACGTGACCTAGAAACCCTTAGGTATCGCAATTCTTAGCCCAGTTGGTAAAGACGGCGCAAAAATGACTCAATTTAGTGGTGTGCAAGGTAGCTTCCGAAGCGGTGAAGCCGCAAGGGCGCGCTCAGTTTCACCGTTGAAAACGTGACGCGAGAAGGTGGGAAACGTGTCAAGAAGTCCGAGAGCGCCATATGACGTCAACTCGCGCGCCGGAAAGTCCAAACAAGGCAGCAGTTTCCTCATTCCATGTTGTGTTGCGTTGCTATATGAAATAGTAGGGAGTTTAAGAAAACCACGACGGCAACGGCAACGGGAACGTCCCTAAACAAAAGGTTTAATGAGCAGAACAATGGCTATGCATATGCGTCATAAATCTTTGTAAATTTCTTCGCGTCCTCAGCTTGAAATGACCAAACTTTGCGTTGTCTGGAGAACGTGAACGACGTAGGCTAATTTTTTCTGTTTCTCTTTCTAATTTAGCGATGTGTTCCATATTCATTTTCGAGATAGTTTGACAAAGAGAAAAAAACTAAACGACTTTGAGTATTGCGAGATTCGTAGGTAAAATATAACTTCATTTTTTACCCGACGTTGTCCACGGGGTCGCCGTCGTCGTTTCTTAACCTCCCTAGTATCAAATATGATAATACTTCAGTTTCGTTCTGTATGCACGTTTATTTCTTATTTCAGTTTTCGCTTTGTTTTCGTTTTTCCGTGTCTCATTTTCAGCGCGACTTTGAAGGTAAATTTTGACTCAGAAATAGTATTTATTGCACACCCAAGATGTTTTATAATTTACTTAAAAACATCTAAACAATTTGCGTGCGTTGAAAATCTCATTTTAGCACTAGCTTAACAATGTCCGGCTCCCCGATGCTCTTTGGTTTGGGGGGCTAATTCTATCGTCATTCAACTGAGTTTTGTACTTCGCTAAAATAGTGATTATCAAAACACCATATGTGGGCGAATAAAAGTTCATTCAAGTTGACGAAGGTTCCATAATTGACTTTTGAAACTGAGTCGAATTTATTTATAGTAATTCACCGCACGTCCGTGTAGCCGCTGTGCTCGTAAAGAAACTTCAGAGCCGAATGGTACGACCGGAAACATCAGATCCCCCAACCGCACATTTCGTTTTCGGGGAGCGATCGTCTCAGGTTAGCGAAAGGCGATCGCTTCATAAGTTTAATGATCCAATAGATGACAGAAAGAAGGGCTGGACACTTAATAACTTTGTTTTTCTCCTGTCTAACTTTCCCACACACGATGCAATAAAACTTATGCAAGACACGTTCTTTCCTTTTACTGTATGCATACGTTGAAATTTACCCAAAGTTATCTATTTTCGTCATCTGAAATCCGTGTTAAGCTTCTAAATCTTTAAACGTTCCCATTCCGTTTATGGTTTTACGTTCCTAGTTTGGTATTCTTCGATCCTACCACACCAAAGTCGCTAGATTTATTTACGGTTAGGAATTAGCACAGCTCAAAAAAAACTCATATCAAATAACTTTCCGAGTTGTCTTCCAATGTCAGCTCGTTTGAACACTGAGGCAGGTGTTTTCAAACGATTTCTCAGATCATGATGCAAGAGCTTTAAAAGTAAAAGATGAACAACCAGCATCCTCTTTTTCTTACAATAAAAACACGTTAGTTAATTTCTCAGATGCCAAAAATATTTTAAAAGTTTATTTGTATAAATAATTTTCTAAGTGAACTGTGTGGTGTTGCGTCATAAAAGCCAACTCTCATTTCTTGTCGATGTCCATGAATATGCACTGAGTTTTACCTTCTAAATATAGCCGTGACATCAAAAGCTCCTTTAAAAACAACCGAAGAAAATACCACTTGTGAGAATAAATAATTTTCATGAATTCTTTTGGCGAAATAACAACACAAAGAAGTTTATTAAGTAAAGAGAGGAACGCTCTCAACAAAACTTCACATTCATGGTAGCGACACTTCTGTTCAACCTCACTTTAATAGCAGAAAAAAATATGATGTCCGAGAGCAGTTTATTTGCTAAAGTATCAAGAACTCGATCGCCACAATGAAAAAACCGTAATAAGGAGATATCGTAGGAAAATTTCGAAACAGATCAGTCGTCTTTTGACTCGGTCTCTCTCATACTCAGAATTTCCACCTTATTTCGAAAACTAAGTCCTGCGAAGTTCGTTATATTCCGTGATAGCCTACTCTGCTACTAGCAGAGTTAAGATCTCTCCCAGACCTCTCGTCAGCTCGCCATGCTCAAAATCTAAATGATCTCGCGGGCGAAGCCTGAAGCGTAGGAATAATGACCAGGGCGAGGAGAGGAAGGGGAGGAAGGGGAGGAAGGGGGAAGGGGGAAGGGGGAAGGGGGAAGGGGGAAGGGGGAAGGGAGAAGGGAGAAGGGAGGGTAATGTAGGTAGAGGCGGAATTCTTTGTAAAGGGAGGACGGGAAACAGGAGATAGGGGAGAGGAGAGAGTGGAGGAGAGAGGTAAGAAAAGAGGGGAGGAGAGAGGGAGGAGAGAGTGGAAGAGAGAGGTAAGGAAAGAGGGAGGAGAGAGGGGAGGAGAGAGTGGAGGAGAGAGGTAAGGAAAGAGGGGAGGAGAGAGATAAGGATAGATTCTCTGGAGGGGAGGAGAGAGGGGAGGAGAGAGGGGAGGAGAGAGATAAGGATAAATCCTTTAGAGGCGAAGGAGAGAAGGGAGGAGAGAGGTAAGGATAGATCCTCTGGAGGGGAGGAGAGAGGGAAGGAAAGAGGTAAGGAGAGATCTTCTAGAGGGGAGGAGAGAGGGGAGAGCGGGTAAAGGCAGAATTCTCTGTGAAGGTGTGGCGCCCTGTTCTCCAAATTCTCATCCTATCAAAGATCAAAGCGTGGAAGTCATTTTCAGCACCCCCATTTGGACCAAGCTTCTGAAGTTGATGCACTTGGTTTGCAAATCCATGTCCCTCGCGTGCTCACGATCTCTATCATAATGGACTTAACAACAGGAAAGAGACATTTATACTGAGAAAAAAGAAAAAACACAACTTATTTTATTGCACACCTTGAAAAAAGGTCTAGCGTATAGCAACAGTTTGAATAAATAAATCTCTAAGTGAGCTAAGGAATGCAACGAAAATGTTTGGTATAGGTAATTTTTCCATATCTACATTAACCTTATTTCACTCTTAGGCGACCATAACTAGAAATTATTTTTGTATTTTTTTTGTTTTTTATATCAATTTTTTGTTATCTATTTCTTCATTTGTTTACTTTTCTTTGACAAAATAGCAAGGAGAGCTCATCGACGCAAGAGAGGTTCCCCTCTTATAACAGCAAAAATGTTAAATCAACTTTATAGAGCGACACAATGTCCACGTACATCCCATCCACCAACATTTGAGAAAAGCTTCGTCTAAAAGTTTAACGCAAAGACATTGTAGGAGAATATTACCGATAACTGAATCCACTCCGCTTAACGAAAATTTTAATTATCTTCTTAATTCCGAAAATGGGAGTCCATCGCTATCTCTCTCGGCGTACGTTTTGTTACGTGAGACAGTCTTTGGAAGTGGCCACCACTCGCGAAAGCGAAATTTTGGAAGAGAAATGGCATTGTTAGTTAAATTACTCTGACTTTCAGCGGCTCTAAGAGAGAAAGGGATGGGAAACACCCCAAGCTAAGGCACTCGTATCCAGGTTTCTCACCGTTTCCCCCGTCTGTTCATCACTATAGGGTAGGTTATATGCTGAAAAATATAAACCTCAATTAAAAGGACTAGGGAAACTTTAACATAAATTAAATTTTGTATTTCTGTCTGTCTCTGAAGAAATTTCTCTATTTTTTGAGATTTAATCCAGTACCAGCCCAGTGCTAAGAGTTCTAAGCTTCCTGAGTGATTTTCTATGTTTGGACACCACACCACACAAAAACGCAAGTGCTGAATCTTGTTGATGCTCTCATTAACTTTTCCCAGTAGTCTCGACAGTTTTATTGAAGCGTGTTTGGTGCGCCAAATATCTCTAAACATAGTGACAGTACCAGTACCAGGGCAACAATCCATACTCAAAGCACCAGGTGAACGGACGTCGACATTATCAGCGTAAGAATCGAAGTTACAACTTTTAACGCGCTGCCTGAAGATCCACGTTTTTCAGGACCTAAGAAAGAAGAGAAAATTAGCTTGGATAAAGTTTTTAACAGTTTGCTTACTTGCTAACAGTTAAGACTGCAGGTCCCTTGTAAAAATTTTTATCTCTTCCTTCATCCAACAAGTCCTTTTCGCAGCCGTTCTTGGGATGTCAAGAAACGCGTAGAACGTCTGCGAAGGCATCACCTCTTGGCGAAGGAAAATGTCGTCCAAACCAATCCCCGAAGAGTGGTGCTCTACGATTTTATTTCAGTCATAGCTTATTGCAGCAATACCAATAAAAAGAACCTATTTCGCAAGTCAAACAACCCTGAGCTTTGCTCGTCGAGGAAATTATATTCGTCTCAGTAAAGACCGTGGTTTGCTCGAAAATATGCACGGCCTCGCAAAACGTAGCTTCCTGGGATGGAGGCAATTTCAAATACCAGTTCAGAATAAACGTAAAAAAAAATGATAAATCAATCAGAGCTAAACACAGATTTCTGGTGGCCGAGGCTTTTACACAATCAGTCATTATTTATCGCTTTGCAGGGGGGAAGGGGGGTGGAAGATATTGGACGCGATCACATGGTTTTCAGTGGAAACCGAGGGAGAACCAGTCGTCGCCTAAAGGCTATGAAAGGGGACCATGGGAAATTGACCACCAATGAGGAAGGGGGGAGGGGTGGGGATCACAAGAAATTTGAAGAGCCTTATGGGGGACACGTGACATAACCAAACTCCTCCGAACCCCACCCCACTGGCGATAAATAATGACCGATCCCTAATTCGAACAGGCCTTGGATATGCCACGTATTTCCTTACATGCAACAGTAGTATTGAGAGAAATACTTCTCCACTCTCCACCGCCAAGTGCGTTGTTAGAATTCAATCGAACTTCGTATTCAGTTTTCTTTTTAAGATTTGTAAAGCTCTTGGAGCGACTTAAATTTGTTAAAGATTCCGATGCAACTGATTCGCCTCCATTCAAAAGTTTGACGGTGTAGCCTGTCACGGGGCTTCCACCATCCTTGAGAGACGCCTCCCACGTGACCTCTATACTGTCACACGTCGATGAAGCTTGCACGTTATTTGGAGGCTCAGGAGGACCTGGAACGGGAAGATAGCAAAATGCCCCACTCAGCACTTGCGCTTTTACAATGTGACTTTCCGTAGCAAGTGAAATGAAGCAAAACATTTTCACTTGAGAACATATACTTTTTGATGCGTTTTTATCTACTGTCCACTCGGAAAACCTCGAAATGCAGATGCAGGCGAAAATACATGACGCCTTTTTTCGTCAACATCTTCAAAGCCTCCGTTTTCATTTCTCTACGAAGCCTTAGAAATAGGTATGTATCTAAAACACTCTACTTTTGAAACAAAAGGTTTGAAAATTTCAGTTAAACTTTTTACAAGCTGTGCAAGCTGTAAAGTGATTCCTTTGATGTCAACAAGTGAAATCGAGGCAAAACTGGCGGCAAAACAGGCGGCAGTTCGGTTCCCGTTTTCTTAACCGAATATATCACCTTAATCAATCGAGTTTTTAAGAATTTAAACTCACCTCTTTCGTAAACCTCAATGTAATGTGTTACTGTACCCATCTTATTTTCAGCCACACAGCTGTAAAATCCAAAGTCCCTTGGTCTTGTAACACGAAACTTGTAGGAAACAAACCCGGATGCGTTGAAAATGCTATTCAAATTAACACCAGCGAATTGGAACTTTAATTCGGGAACTGGAAAACCATCAAATTTACATTTCAGTATTATTTCCTCATTACTGTCTAATGATGAAAATATCGTTCCGTGCGTGGAGCTTTCACTGATCAAAACGGGGCTATCTGCAAACAAAAAAAGAGGGCTATCATTAGGTTTAATACTTGATTAATGTAATCTCACCGGTGTCCCTATAGACTACAATACTCTTTGATTGGTCTCTAATACTCGCCCCATACTCTCTCAGTCATTCATTCAGACTTGTTCACCTGCGTTTTGCGACACTTCTGTCCAGACGCTTTACATTTGCACGGAGAAAGAAAGCAATGACTTACAGTCTGGAAAAGGTATAATTTTTGAGGTATTCCTCTTTTCTTTCTCTTACCAAATGCAATTATTCGTAGCGTTTGCGCATGTTCCGCCATGAGAAACACAGTATCGCAGATTTCCGCCGTTTTTTCGGTTGAATGAACGCATGCTCATTTCCCGAGCGCCCAAGAGACCCAAGAGCATAAATGGGTTCTAATGAAAAATAAGGAAAACCTTACTAAATTAACCTGCGATAGACTGGCATATCTTCCGAGGTAGAGGTGAGTCACAGTACTCCTTCCCGCTTTATTCAACGGAAACGAAATGGGATAAGCTCCATCAGAATGGGCTTTTAAATCATTGTCCCTTGAGCTGACTGACCCTTAAAGATCTAAGTCAAGATCAGTCGCAGGGAGCATGGGTCCTAGATTACATTTAAGTCGTTACTTCGTCCCCCTCCTCTCATGATACTTACATTCGACATTCAGCCGGATTTGCGTCTTGTTCCTTGTGCCTCTACATTCGTAGGTTCCTCGGTCTGCCTTGTTGACCTTAGGGATCTCTAAGTACTTCAAACTTCCACTTGATCTTACGTGGACTCTTGCTGACGGGTCATTAGTTATCTTCTTTCCGCTGAACGTAAACCAACCTGTAAGTGCCTCGTCTGTCGCAGAACAATTTATACTTAATTCGCCGCCCTCGGGTATTGTATAATTCCCTTTGGGAACATAGACAGTGCCATCTGAAGACGAGGAAAATAACTTTTAATTTTAAGAATCAATAACTTTTTTGTTGTGTGAGGCCCAGAAAAGCACTTTGTAATCCTAATTAGTCTTGCTCACAAGGTTTCAAATGTTGGACAAAAAAATCACGTAAAGTAGTGGTTTTTACTGTGGTAATTTAGTTCTCTACCCACAAAGACTGCGGGCATTTCAAGGACGTCTCGCGATTGAGGCTCAGAGTTCATCTTCTGGAGCGAGACTCAACAGGAAGCCTAAACGATAAGGGCTCGCCTGGTAAGTAACTTACCAGGTGATGAGTGACAAAGATTAATCGCTCTATTTTGCTATGTTCGGTTGAAATGCCATGCATTTACATGCCATCTAAGGCGTAATCGACAGACGAGCGTTTGCTGGTGTGTTAAGCGGTCAGGTTCACTGGGCTGCAGTTGTCAGTTTAAAATCAAAAACAATACTAACAGCCGTTTATCACTGCTTTTAGCACTCATGTAAAATTGAGCGCAAGCACCATTCGCGTTGGCTTACGCCCCCTCCAGGTAGGCTACATGCCTAACCTTTGCTCCTTCTCAGATGTGATACGTGATTGTTGATGTACACGAATGACGCTTCAAGACCGTAGCTTGCACCAACGAATCATGTGACAAGAGCTCTTTCCGAGTGGTTTCCGACGCGGATCTGATGTTAGATTTTGTGTCGAAGTTAGACTACGATCAGTCTCTCTTTAGCAACTTCACGTGCGAGTGTAAAGAAATCCTCGCCCCTTCTAATATCTGACTGAACTTGTTGTGAGCGAAGTCGCATTTTTAATCAATATTTTAAAACAAAATGACAACATTTCCCTCTACCGATCAAGTCTTGCATTTCATCTGTGTATTTCATCAGTACAGAAGATAAAAATTGAATTCTTGAACTATTTCAAACGCATTGTCCTTTCTTAATCTCAGCTAATAGGGGTAGCTTTAAGCTTACAAACCACGAGAAAAAGGAACATAAACACAGCGAAACATTCTCGCAGGGCATTTGTCAATATTTTAAAAAATTTATAACCAAAACATCCGTCAAACTTACCACAAATGGATGTCCATTGCAGCGAAATCAACTGAACTAGTGCCACTAATATTTTGAACAGGATCTCAGTCATCTTTTACCCTAGAACAGAAATAGGAGAATACTTTGACACGGTTCACGTAACTTTGTGGCAATATCTCGGATGTAAAACGTTGCACAATTTGTAAAGGTGTCAGAACGCTTGGCATACTACTTATGACGTCGGCATAATATTGCATGTTGAATGAAGTACCCTCGGAAATCTTGTCTCGCTTTGCCCCGTGAACTCTTAAATATTCCTTTGTAGTGATAGACACCTTTTGCCGGAAAAGTATCACACTCAATTTACGTCAATTGAGGACAAAGAAATAACAAGTGATTTGTTCTTGGTGAATAAACTCCTTTTTAAAAGGTTCATTGATCTCGTACCTATTTTCGCTTCTGCCCAAAACGTCTAGATTAATATTGCTGTTATATTTCGTTGCTGATGAGTTGGCCCGCATCCTAAAACGTCTAAATGTAGGTTTGAAATACGATACTTTAATTTTTTACTCAGATCGTAACTGTGCTCGTTTCATGTTTTAACTGTTGACTGATTTAAAAATCATTCAACCGTTTGAATAGTGTCATGTCACTCTGTCATGCTGGAAATACAATTGTATTCTTTGGAAAACAGTTGCTGCAATTTACTCGCGGATTTTTCTTTTCCAAATCGGTGATGAGATCTTCTCTTCGTTAGATGACTCCAATGACATAATTACTATCAACATATGTCCATAAAAGGTCTTGAGGAAACCCTGCCCGATAATCCTAATCCTCTTAACAACTGAAAGTGATCATTTGAGAATCATCCCCCATCTACCACCCAAGTAAATGACAAAACATGAAAGGATCACTGTCAGGTACAAAAACTTCCCTTCTGAAAATGAGCTGAAACTGGTTGGAAAGGTCTTGAACGGGGAAATCTGAACAAGAAGTAACTGCCAAACCTAAAACACCATGATGAAGTTTACAAAGCACTTCCGATTTGGTAAATGACATGGCAGCCGAACTCATAAACGAGTTTTATTCTTTAGTAAAAGAGCTAAAAAAAAAAGAGAGAGAGAGAAGGAAAGAAAAAGAAAATCTTACATATTATTTTGATATAAAAATCGCCTCGTAATGAGATACTTAGATTAATAAACGAACAAATCTAGATCTTATTTGGAAGCATTTTTTTTGTATCAATACTTCTTGTGTTTGCGGTAACATTTTTCGCTTGCTGAAGTCATGATAGCTTAACAGTAAACTAATTTTGTTTCGCTTTTTCTTTGAATCCTCCTTGATAAAAATTCCGATGTGAGCGATTCAAGTAACAACTGCTACAACAGTTGGAAACCAAGAAAATATCAGTTGTTATCATGCAACTGCACAAAGTAAAGTACAAATAATGCGCGAATTGAGTACAAAATATCCAGCGAAATTGTAAGGTTATTTGGACAGTTAATTATTTTGTACTGTAAAAAAAAAAAATCTGTTTAAGCAGTCGGCTGCGCGCGCTACGCTTCTCTATCCGCTTTGCTTTTCCCGCCTTATGAGAAATGAGCAGAAAGACTCAGCAGTTGGATACTAAATATCTTATTAGAAGTTTTGGTGTGTAGTATCGCTGAATATTTTTACTCGTTGTTTGTATCGGGCTCATCAAATTACGACATAACTCGTAAAAATACTCAGCGATACTACACACCAAAACGTCTAATAAGATTTATTTATTCTCCTGTCTGTCTGCCGTATCATCCTTATTTGTTTGTTGAGAGAATTTGGTAGTGGATCAACTAATCATGCCCTCATTGATATTTTTCTTTATTCTCATCACTTGTCCGCTTGATATTGTATCGATATTATAATGAGAAATTCAGTATTGGTCACTCATGGGAGTTAGAGGGTTCAATATAATTCTAAACACTCTGTCTCAGTATAATGGAAGCGCGTAAGCAGCTGGATGGGGTAGAGAAACCACAATCTATTAAAATTCTTAATCCAGAACAGCTTGGCAAAATGAAGAGATTTTTCTTAACAGGGTCAAAGTTTTAAGTCTGATCGACATACTCAACCCAAATTTCTCTCAAACGCTCACCCCTCTTCCTCTTGATTTATTTATTTATTTATTTATACCCTCATGTCGAAAGTGTTAACGCTCTAAAATTCAAACAAAAACAATTATATATTTTTTCTCCCATAGCCACCAAAGTTTAAAGATGTTTGATGACTAACACTTTTCCTTACAAGGCAGAAGAGATATGCATCAGAATGAATTTCTTAAGGGCGCCATAAGAAACCAATTCACGCTAAGTAACAGATGCTAAACTTTGATAGACGCATCAACGCCGAAATAAATTTCGATCAATCGATTGCAATTTCCGTGGGCGGCGAATCAAAGGAAAATTCACGTTTGCATATCTTTTTTTAAGGGGTTGTTGTTTCGTGTTATCTGTTGCATCAACAATTTCAGTCAGCTTTGTTAATGTGGTTAGAGTTTTAAGCGTGGCTATTGAGAGAGTGGATACAAACTTACCTTTTGAAATCTTTGGGGCGAAATGACACCATTTAAATCGGTTTTCGCCAAGTTATCCCTCAGTCACCTTGTATCTGCGCCATTGATTCCACATCTAAGAATAAGTAAATCCGTTATTGATATATTCTGATTTTCATTATTTCATGATAAGCAAAAACGGGACAGAAGACCTTCGTGATTCCATTAAAAACTCGGTGTGTTTATCACCGGGTGTTATCACTAGTTATCAGCTGCCCTTATAGAGAGATAACAGGTACCCTTGTGGGAACCTGCGCGATGGTTAGAAATGCACCGGGTGATACCGCGTCGTATCGCACGCTGAGACGAAAGCTGCCTAGTTGTATTTTTGCTGATAACATTTAACCTGCGCTAAGTTCGATAAAAGACTGTTTGTTGATGTTTCTTGTTTCCGCCCTTGTTATGTTTATACCGGACTAATTGAATCAAATGAATTGTCATTGCATTTCAGCATTCTTGTGTACCTGATGTTTTAACTAAAAAAACCACAGTGGCGCTAATTGATGTCAAGTACAGTGACCCCTAGACATTTTGCTTTGGCTTTCCCTGGAACTTGTCACATCCCATTCGAGGCTTGGATGGATCGAGTCGAGGAAGGAGAGTGAGAGAAGGGCTGTAGTCATCCCAACCTGATTCCATTCTACATAACATCTATCTTGTCTCTGTGCACGAATGTCTTTGAGCGAATTTTTCTAAAAAAGCTTCCGATTGTCTCGGATTTGATAATATTTCGAGCCTCTTTAATGCCTCTTGATGAGTTAGTAACCTTCGCCGTCTACTGTTGTAATCGTTAGCTTTGATGGATGTTTATGTCTCTCAAATTGACCTGCACACAGGTAGCACTTCATAGTGTCCACAGCTTTTCTATGGAATGTCATGTTGCGTTACATTTCGAGGAACCGTTCTAAGGGAGATGACATCAGGGTTCAGTCAACACCCTTTTTTGCTGTGAGTCTACTTTATGTCAAAATTTCTCCCTATCCTGATAAAGGTGAAGATGAGTTAATTGGTCCCACCTCATTTCCCATCCCACAGAATCACAGTCGAGAGTAGTTCGGTTAACATTGAGTTCTATTTGCAGTCACCCAGGCTTAGAGACCAGTCAGCATTTATCACGGGGGGGGGGGGGGAAGGGGGTTTCCGGGGGAACGGAAGGAGGATCAGATGTCGCCAATAGAGTATAGAGGAGATAGAGGAGTGACTGTATAAGATTGACTCCCAATAAACTGATAACTAAGGGGGGATCAAGTGAACCTTTTTTGTGTCACAACCAAAATCCACCAACCCCTACCCGCAGGTGATGATGATGACTGACCCCTTATGCCCCATGCCATCAAGAGCAATTGCTCTTTTTTGCTACGCCCCCAAACACAATAAGTTAGGGCACTTATCCAGAGCCATGCCTCAGGGGTGATGTTCTTTCGCCTCTTCCCCTTCAAATGCTGTCAATTGCCAATGTGTCCATGCCATCCTGCGGACTAACATTCAGAGGGACAGGGGAGGGCAGCAGGTGCCCTTAAAAAATTTGCCTTGGAGTAGAGGCTTTCGCAAACAATTAAACAATAGTTCTCGCTAATGGTTTGTAAACTGTCAGAATTTAATTGTTTACTGGGTGATAAAGTGACAGAATAAGACGATAGGTCGTCGTGGTATAAAAATATAAGACAAGAGAACGTGAAAAAAGGAAATTTCTAGCAAGGTCGATCGCGCGCTATCGCCTCAGGAAAAATGCCAAGCGGGTATATCAAGCTGCGATTCTCCCAAGAAACCGAAAATATGTTTCAGCTTTCGATACAAAATTTGTAAAAGTCGTTTGGTTAAAGTTTACTCTTAGTAACAACATCTTTACGTACTTTTTAATCTTCCAGCACAACTAAACAGTGAGGGGAAAAGTTATTGTTTTTTTAAGCTCTACCCACTTGATACAATATTTTATCAAAAACTGCAATATCGATTTTTCTTTTGAATGATAGTGAGCCCGAAAGTACCTTTAATTATGCGACAAATTATATTTTCAAAAAATAGTCGTTAGCAAATTAACATACATGGCAGGATTTGCATAAACTATGCTGGCTTTAAACCATACTCTGTTTTAATAGCAATTAGAAAATCCACTTGCATGGTTTACCGGATATATCATTGTATTACCCGACATTTCAACCATTGTTTTATGATAGAGATTTTACTTCCTCGAGTTTTCAAAGTGGAACGCGCAATTAGGATATTCGCGAAAAAAACGTTGACAAGTTTGATAATGAATCAAAACGGTCGGTCAGGAGAATGGTGGTTGGCAGTCCATCTGCATGAAACCGAACCACGTCTAGTACATCGATTTTGAAAATAATTTCTCATACGAAAACAAAAACACTTTCTTTATTGTACATTTTTTCTTGAAAAACACTTTAAAAAGTCAGCCAATATATCTTGTTGCGAAAAAACTAATGAAAATACTGCACCGGATTTGAATATTTTCCAGCTCTTGCTCCGACAACATACTTACATCGAAAATTCTACGGATTCTGAAACATTTCTGAAACCTCGAATCCGTTAAAATTTGATTGAAGAATATTTCCCTACTTCAAAATTTTGCGTGTTTAGCCCAGACAAACGGTAAAATATTTACCCGCTAAATATCACATGTACACTGTTATTAGAGGTGTCATTATGTTGGCAAGCCCTCCACCCATTATTTTTACAACAAATTACACTATTAATTTTCGAGTTTACGATTTGGCGACGTGAAAATTGGGATTTTTAGAACACGAGTTAAGACGTTATTCCATATTTCAATTAAAAGGATAGTGCACGATTGTCTGTCTTATTGGATGCAAACTTGTACTTCTCAGACATTTCAGTGACATTTTAAAATTTTCTCTTTCGATTATCAACTCTTTTTTTTTTTTTTTGCTCTCTACTTTACGCTCGACTAAACAGGAACAAAATCTAAAATACATTCACCTGTTACCTTAGTTTTCTACTGAATACTTACATGATATGCGTATGCTACGCGATTCTACTAAAAATATGCCTTAATCGTAAAGAGCATTTTGAAACATTTCGCAAATTTAGATCTCTCCAAATTTTAGTTGAAATAGATCCTTAATTTGAAATTTGCGTGAATATCGAGCCCAAACATGCGTTAAAATATTCATTCGCTAACTGATCCTGTTGATTGATATAATAAATATCATACCCAGGTTGTATGCTTCACTTGCACTCATGTTTATCCTCGATAATAAGACAGAACTCACCAAGCCACAAAAATAAAGGCAAAAGCTCTATAGTTTCACTCACCATGAGCACTCAGTGGTTAATTTCACTGAAACTTGGAACACGATTTATTCCGATGCACTTGCAATTTAGGAGTAACGCGAGAAATATCAACTTGCTGGTTGGTTATATATTTAAATAATTTTCCCGGCCGGCCCTTCTGCTAAAGTTCTCGAAGGTTCATTTGCATATGAATTGATTCGTGTGCGCATATTTTTGAGCAGCGAAAAGAGTGTTCGTTCTTAATTCTATACCTCCAATATTTGTTAGGGCAACCCAATTTCGTAAATTGGGATAGGAACGGAGAAATTTCGGAAACGGTACATTTCGTCGCGTGTTTGGTAAACTACTTCTTTTCTATTGGAAAATTTCACTTCAATTTTCTGTTCTGAGTTATGCACAGAAAAATGTTCTGGCGCTTACAACTGATTATCAATTTCATAATACAGCTAAATTACAATTATTTATTTTCTAACAGTGCTTCAACCTTCGTATGATGAAGCCAGTCAGTTCACTTTCCCCTCCCACAATACACTCGGAAGCTTCCTTGTATGACCACAGAGATCTCACACAAACGGTGCGACCGTTCGATTATTTGTATTTGGGGAGAAGTATGGGATTTATTCATAACACTCGTTTTATACCAATCAATACGCAAAATTCTGCGTAAAAGTTTATTCGCATCTTAACCGAGAATATTTAACGCAAAAACCAACGACTGATCAAGTTTCCAGCTAGTCAAATGTGCAAACGGTAACATCAGTAGTGTGGGTTTCTTGTGGTTTGACGAGAAAAAAAGGGCCTCAATGAAGAGCGGGTTGAATATTCGCATCCAGTCCCTCCTCATATTTCGGCACTTTGTTTAATTTCCAGTAAAAATTGCTTCATACGAGAGTATAAATATTTTTTTGCCAATGCGACAATTGCGAGCTTTTTCCCGCAGTCCGCTCCTAGATTTTGATGGGTCCTACACTAGAGCTTGCTAAGAATTTTTATGACTTTTTAATTTCTTGTTAAATGGACGGTTGGCGTTTAAAATTTGCCATCCAAGGATGAGCTTTGAACAGACGCGCGATTAACATTAGCTTTGCGTTTGACTGGTTGAGAGAAAGTGGCGTGACGTTGAAAGACCAACCAAAAAGCAGATACGAAGTAGGAAACCATTACTTTGGACTCTTCTCTACGAGACAAACACGAGACAAAAACGGTTAACCCGATGACTGGTCCTGATTGGTCGAATACGTCTTCAACTTATGAGAATGTGAACAAAAGCATGTAGGAGAAAGAAAAGACAATTATTTAACCTCGCCATAACTTAGTTTTTGCCAGTTACACATATGTTTCGGACTGAACCTTTTATTACTGTAAAATAATAGCACTAAGTTCAAATTTTATTGGCCAAGACGTGCGCTAATTTATCATAATCATTTTGGTCCACTTTTCAAACATCTACAGCTGGGTATGTAGATGTAAACATTCTGAAATCCTTCTTAACGTAGATTTTTATCTTCTTAGAAAGGAAAAAGAAAACCAATTTTCGGTTATAATACCGCAAGATCTTGGCTATTATCGTCGTATGCTTACTGAAAACAAAACAAAATCGAAACTAAGAATGACAAATGTTGTCCCTAACAATATTTTAGTACACAGAGATTATAACAGAGCATGACTCTCAACCAAATTAGCGTACTTGTTAGCATTTAGAAGATATATTTTGAAGAAAAGACCAGTTTGACTCTCCTGGGAGTTCTCCAGTTATAAGTCAGTTTCAAACGCCGTGCTTTATTGATACACACGATTACTCAGCGATACTAAAATTAAACGACTACAACAGACATTCAATTGAAAAGCCTCGTCATTATTCAAAATGATGCATGACTAGATTCATCAATTATTTCAATTCGAAAACTCAGACTCAGGATAAAACATTCTATATGCAGTTTAAATTTACGATGAATATTTTTACAAATTCGTCTCTTGTTAGCCTGATAAAAATATCACTGAAAGTTTGCGTATGTCTGTGGTAAACACAAGAAAATTTGATTCGACGAGGCAAGTAGTTCAACGAGGAACTAGAATTGTATCTTCTGTCATGTTTCGTTTTATCAAATTTAATTTTACGGACCCTGCTGTTGTTGTGGTAGATATGCAAGCTTTGGCAGTTTTTTTTAACCATACGGTAAAGAAAGAATATGAGCGAAATCGTCGAGAAGATGGCCTTGTAAAATACAAAACAAACGGGCGAAATCAAACAGTTTGTTGATTGAGATATGAAGTATTGTTAAAAGCACTTAAAATGAAGTACAGTTTGCTTTCTTTTCTCTCAGTTAAATAAATTAATCTACTATTTATTGAGGAGTTATTATTTTTACTCACCTTTGACTACAGGAATATGCTCGAAAATTTAACTGTAACATTTCGAGTAGTTTTGACCTCTCGAACTAAAAGATGCGTCAATTTATACCGAAGATAATTAACGCGAACAACACAAAAGCGTCACTCTACATAAATAATTCACGATGTGGCTGAATCGAGCGGAGTTTCTTTCATAAACAGTAATCAAAGGAAAATTTATGTTTGACAAAGAGAAACGTATCCAGACGGTCTGGTTTGTTGGTGTCTGTTCCAGCTCTGGGGAAATCTTTCTTTCAAATTAATTATTTGAGTCTAAGGGATATTTTTCGACATTCTGTCCTATAGTGATAAATCTTCTTTTTGTATATATCTTTGTTGTTTTAGTGATTGAAAACAATTCGAAAAAATAATTTTTTTAATTCACCCTAAAAACCTCCTCTAAAACCGCGAATATATCTTAAGTTGAAAGCTGTCACGAGTCAACCACAACATTTGAAATCGACTTTCCCAATAGCTAGCTTGTTTTCCGGTAATTGGAAATACTTCTTGAAAGTTGAAACGTTTTTATCATGGTTTGGTATTAGTCAGCTTATAGCGTTGGTCAAGATGGTTTAGATTTCCTAACCAAGGCCTGTAATGCAAGCCTACGGGTTCCAACCACTGGTTTGAGGCTTTCAATGAAGATAATGGAGATTCAAGATTTAGACTCCAAGTAGAGAAGAACATATGGCTTCGCCCCAGTCGACGCTGCCTCAGATCAAAGCCGATAGAGATTGGATACTAATCCCTATGAAGTCTGTTCATGCGCATCACCGGTCATCCCAGAATACTTTGTGGCTATCCTTTACGGATCTTTTGCGGACGTGGCGAACGAATAAACCTGCAAAATAGCTGTATTTTTGGCCTCTGAGAGGCCTGATTTACTGTGAAATAAGGTTTGATAGCCAAAATGGTAAGTTTATTTATTGTTCTTTGTATCTATGTGCTTTTTAAGCGTAAAAATTGGGTTATTTCATTGTTATTTGTCGAAGTAAGCATCTCGTATGATACCATTTTAAAGTATTTTACCCACATGTCAGACAATTTTCAAACTGGAATGCCAATCTGTGATTCGACGGGAGCGAGAAATTATTTCTATTTTATGACTAAGCAGTTTACGGAGTATAATAGTCACCTCTATCGTCGCGTCGCAGGATGACGAAGAGTGGTGAATCATCATTGAATAAAAGTTTAATAATGAGAAGTTAAAGATCAAGGCTTCCGTATCTTCCCGATTTTGTTTCACGAAAGCAAACGTTCAGACGTTCCTGCTCTCAACATTATTCTTTATAGGTTCTACTTGCTGCAGCAATATGTACGAAAACAGGAAAAGGTACGGTGACCCTATTACGTGTTTGTGACATGTTAAAAGAAGATTTGTTATGGCCCCACTGTTTGCCTTAATTACAAATCAAACTAAATATAATTGTTAATAGAAGGAGAGAGTTGGTAAGTTTTTGAGCATGGTTAAGAAATGAAGAAAGATGTTTTTTATCTTGTCACAAGCATGGGAAAAATAAAAAAATTCTTAGCTCCTATGAGGAATCAAACCTCAGACCTTCAGATTCCATGCTCTGATGCTCTACCACTGAGCCTCAGAGACTCTAAGGTGAGCAAGGCCTATTATAAAGTTCATATATGATATGCGTCCTGCATACTGTTAGGATCAGCAACGTCAATAGCATTGTGTTTGTAAACAGACTAAGAGAGACGGTAAGTTTTGGAGCTCAGTAAAGAAATAGAGAAAGATATTTTTCATCTTGTCGCAAGTGTGGAATTGAAATGTGCTGTTAAATTAATGTGCTGTTAAATTGATTTGCTGACACTGTAAATATATTTTTCTCTTTATGGCATGAGTCTATTTATCATGGAACCAAATTCCAAGATACTCACCAAGGCTATAATACAACATTGCCTTTTAACTCTTTGATTCCTAAGAGTGACTAGTATCTAACTTCTCCTAACAATATCACCCTTGAATCATGGATGAAGGTAATGAGAATAAGGGTAATGATCACTAGCTAAAGAAACTCCTGATTATCAGACAAATTCTCCTTGTTGGCAGCTTAGGGAATGTATAAAGAGCAGCATGGAGAATATGCATTCTGATCTTAGGATGTAAAGGGTTTCTGTACTGCAGTTTTTAAAGTCAAGAGTAAAATACATTGCAACAACAACTTATACTCAGCAATATCACATATCAAACCATTATATGAAAAAAGTTTTGTCTTACTCCTACAGCCATTGTATCACGTCAGTTTGTGGAAATGACAAGGTCACGTGTAGAGGGCCTTCTTGCCGCATTTCCCAAATTAATGAATACTGGAAAGCAACACACATTCGTTGAAACAGAAAGTGTCAGATATGTTTACCAGCCTCTAGAGAAACTCTATATGCTTCTTATTACTACCAAAGCTAGTAACATCTTGGAAGACTTGGAAACTTTACGACTATTCTCCAGAGTGGTATGCAATAGCATAGAAACATATACTGTTCTATTTCACATTGATTTTCTATTAGTATGAGATCAGAGACAGGGGTGTAGGATTCAGTTATTTCTCCTTAAAGGTGCTGTTGTCATTGTTATTGGATGAAATTGCAACAACTTTAGCTGAACTCAACAGCAGAATCAAGTGCAGATTTTTTTTAGGCTGTTTGTAAAGTTGGATGGTCAATGAAATTACTTTCAGTTTGAGAGGTGCAAATTGATTGCTTAGAGGACTTTCTTATTTGATATTTGTTGAAAGGAGTTTTGTGATAGGATTGACAGTTTACCAGTTTAGTATGAGTTTCCATGAAAAGATATCTCCAACTGGCATACAATCGTTTGTGTTCTTAGAAACCTCTTGTCTGTCTCTAGATTCCAGAATACTGCAAGGCAATGGAGGAATCTGAAATAGTTGAAAATGCATTTTCACTAATCTTTGCCTTTGATGAGATTGTTGCCCTTGGCTATCGTGAAAATGTTAATCTTGCACAAATCAGAACATTCACAGAGATGGACAGTCATGAAGAGAAGGTGTTCCGTGCAGTGAGACAGGCAAGTTTATAAAATTACTTCTATCAATGCATCAAAGAACTGTTTTTGAGACACAATGTCTTAGATGTTGTCTCTATATTTCGGTTTGTCTATTTGTTCTTCCTGGTGTTGTGAACTTTGCTAAAATTACAAGCATCTATCCAAACTTGAACTAACCACTTTGAAATAGAGAGACAGGGGAGCTGTTTGTGTGGTGAGGAGGGCTATATTGTGAATCGTAATAATTTTTTCTCCATCTAAATATTGATTAGACACAAGAACGTGAAGCCAAGGAAGAGATGAAAAAGAAAGCAAAGGAGTTACAGGCGGCCAGAACAGCTGCTGCTCGTGGCAAAGGTGGCAAGGGACAGTTAGCTGGCTTTGGAGGTTTTGGTGGAGGAGGGCGTGATTCAAGTATTCCAGTGGCTAATGATGTCACAGTTATTGATCCTACGCCCCCTAAACCATCATATCCCACAAGGTGATTTACAGTTTTTTGTACATTGCTGCCTTTCTTTTTTTTTTTTTTTTTTTTTTTTTTTTTGAAGGTCAATAATTCTCCCCTTGAAATAAAGGGTTCAGATAGAGCCAAGGAATTATTGATATTTGATAACCAGTGGGTATTATCTTTGTTTTGTTTCAGAACTGCTGGCACTGGAAAGGCAATGAAATTAGGAAGCAAATCTAAGGATGTGGACAGTTTTGTGGACAAACTAAGATCAGAAGGAACAGGTGAGGAGAGATCCACTACCAAATAAGATAGAGTGGAAGCAAAACAATCAGGAAAGGGCTGAAGATCATCTCTCTATAACATGGAATCACCTTGGGAGATAGAGATTCAAGGACTTTTTGTTGCCTGTTCATAATTGAAGCACTAATTTGTTGCAAGAGTGATGTTCCTTTGTTTGTTCTGTCTCAACTAGAGTAGAGAAAACTCACCAGTAGTAATTTTTATATTTTGTGATAGTTCTGTCATAGTTCTCTGCATGAGCCCATGATATGAAGTCAGTAGTAACATTTCCCAACAGGAAAATGTGGTTGGGCGCATTTACAAAGGGGCATTTTTCTCCCTTATGAACAAGGATGTGTGGGGTTGGCTGGTGCTTTCCCTGTGATTTCTATATCTTCTTCTACTTTGCAATCTGCTCCTGAAACCCTTGACAGGTCATGAAACTCTGCTTGGTTTTGTCATCTTTGCTGTTCTCACAGTTGTACTTGCTTGGGTTGTGAGGCTTACAACTTGTTATTTTGTTTCTCACAATTGCAACAGAAAAATGGTTATTTCTTTGCCACTGAGTGGATCTAAAATACTCATACAGAAAGAAGAAACTCACTGAACTGTTTAAATGTTCTAATTTTCAGAGGTAGTAAGTTCCAAGACAAAATTATCATCAACTGGAAAGACACCAACAACACCATCTGTTCAAATGGGAAGGTAAGTGTTCTAAAAATGTTATATACCGGTTGATGAGTGTGGACAAAATGTTAACATCATAATCAACACCTAGTTCATTGCATTTGAGTGATGATTCCTTTTGGGAGGTTACAATAGCAAACTGCTTGGGTCATAAACCCCAAAAAAAAAAAATGTAACCTCCCAAATGAGTCCTCAAAAGATCTGAATTAGTTGGGGTGCCCATAAGGATGTTAAAATGTAAGTAAAATCTTACCATTTATTTAGAGAACTGTCTGGAGAATATGCATGCTAGTGTTGAGGTGTAATCTTTTGCTTTTTATTTCAGTGTTCATATAAAGATTGATGAGAAGATCACACTAACTGCTGGAAGAGATGGAGGACTACAGAACATGGAAGTCAGAGGTCTTGTGCTTCTCAGAGTGTCTGATGCACAGTATGGAAAAATAAGACTCAGTGTTGAAAACAATGATGATAAAGGATTCCAAATGCAGGTACTGTTGTTTACCCTGTGGCTGTCAGTGTCTCATCTTCTACTTCTGTTCACCCTTTCACTCCCAGGTGTCATTTGTAATTCTCCTTGCTGTCTGCTCTAGAATTATTAGTTCTGAGAATATGGCATTGAGCTCCAGGCTGAAATATTTTGCAAAATGCCATTTGGCAGTATCAAATCACAAAATTTTTGTCTGACGAAGCTTACACTGGTCTTCTAATATTTGTTGATTTTGATTTTCAGACACATCCAAACATAGACAAGAAATTATTCAATCAAGAATCATTAATAGGACTCAAACAACCTAGCAAACCTTTCCCGCTTAATAATGACATTGGTGTATTAAAGTGGAGACTGCAGAGCACAGATGAAGGATTAATGCCGTTATCAAGTAAGATTTTAGCACAATTGACACCTCACTTTTTAGAATTACTGTAGTGTTACTTTTTATACAAGATAAAACATCTAGCTATGCCAACATGAGCGGTTTGATGGCCCTGACATGTAGACTCCACTTGACTTCAGATTGAATCGTCCATGTGTGGGCCCCAAGTTGTATCAGGCTACAGAAATAATCTGCGAGTCCCTCTCAGGGATTAAAGGGTGAAAGAAACGGGGATATGAGAGGGAGGCACTTTCAGTTTGCTGACTTCACTTTTTCATTGTGTAAGATTCATTGTGTGTTTCACATCTCTTGCAGTCAACTGTTGGCCTTCAGAAAATGATGAACAATGTGATGTAAACATAGAGTATGAGCTTCTCCAAGAAAATCTGGAGCTGAATGATATTGTAATTTCAATTCCTGTTCCGTAAGTAGTCACTTATCTTCATTTGTAAACAAGTGTGCTTGTGGTTGAATGTGAAAGGGTTAGCATTCTACGCAGGAAGTTCAGATGTCAATTTGTCAATGTGTGTTAACCTTAACTGAAAGCAAATCATGATGTTCTTCCCTCAGTAATAAGGCAAGTCAGTATGACAACATTGCTTGATTTGTAAAAGTATGAGGAAAAGAAACAGAGCTGTGAAACTGGTCACTGATGAATGTGAAGTGGCTCGTAATTTTGACTCAAATATGGCATTTATTTTTACCTTATTTATTACATGTACCTGATAATTGGAAAGGATTCTTTTTGTGATCACAAAGAGCAAGAAACTGCTATTGTAACTATTGGTTTAAGAAATTAATTACACAAAATAACATGGTTGAGTTTTTAATTCTAGAAGGTTGATATTTTAAGATTGAGATTTTTTAAAAATTTGGTTTGCATCATGATAGTTTTAATTGGTGACAGGACCAGCTGAATTTGTGGTAGATATGCAACAAGCTTCTGCAGTTTCTTTTTAACCATACTGAAAAGAAAGTATATGAAGGAAATATTTGAGAAGACAGCCTTGTATTTAATGAAAAACAAATGGATGACATCAAACAGTTTGTTGATCTAGATATAAAGATATTAAAATATGATATATTTTAGTGAGGTGTGGAGCTGGTTTTCAGTGAAGCTTCTGTATGATATGTCAGAATTCAGACAGCAGAAATATTTCAAAGTAATTTGAAAGGGATTGTGAGAATAACAATTGTTTTTACTTTAGTCAAAATGCTTTATTGGGTGTGGTTGCAGGCACGGTGTTGGTGGACCAGTTGTAGGAGAAGTGGACGGGGAGTACCACTATGATCACAAGCATTCTGTTCTTGAGTGGCAACTGCCAGTAATAGATTCATCAAACAAGAGTGGTAGTATGGAGTTTAGCATTGCAGGACATCCTGGAGATTTCTTTCCTGTTTCAGTGACCTTCACATCAAGGAAATCGTATTGTGACTTGAAGGTATTTTCTGTCTTTTGCAATAGCATGCCTAACAAATCACATACCTATAAGTTAAGCTGTAATAGTACAGACATATATCTTAATCTACCAACTCAGACTTGCATTGGTGTATTTTTGATCGTACTCTGGTATTGTTCAACCATAATTTTTTTTTGTCAGATGTTCAATAGAATTTACATAAAACAACTGGAAATCTTAAGTTTGTTTGCTGGGTCGTTTGTAGCTCACTAGCCAGGCATTTGATAAATAGTATTCTCACAGATACACTGCCCCCCTGATTTGTGTAAAAAAGTTTGGAGAAAAAGGTGCAGTTTATCCACTGGTGTTTATGGTACTTGCTGTGAAATGCACAGTCCACACCTGTTTGCACAGTATTTAGGTCCCTTTGACATGGTTAGTTATGTGGTCCAATGTAATTAATCTGATCAGTGTTGCCAGTAAAATAAAATTTTTATTTGATTTTTTCAGCACTGGAAATCCCAAGAAATCTTTTATAGGTCCTCTCCTTCAAGAAATTTTATATTAGTGGAGACATGACAGTTGTAATCTAATCAAGATTTGTAACTTTGTGTATTTGCAGATAACAGAGATCACATCTGTAGATGATGAGAAACCAGTGAAGTTTTCACAAGAAGTTGGGTTTTCAGTTGAAAAATATGAGATAGTATAATCATTATGTCGACAAAAATACTGGAACTTATATTTTTTCTTTGGTAACATACAGTGCTGAGAACACTTTTTGCTGGAGGAAGATCTTACTTGCCAACATACCTTTTAAAAAATGTTATATGTTTGGACTGAAGAATGGTAGACAAATATCTAAAATTGGTAATTTGGTATTGTATAGCCATTTCCTTTAAGACCATATAATAGTGTTTGGCAGAGAAGAAAAATTTCATTGGAATGATGACCATCACTCTATCCCAATTTTCACAAAGTTGACAGATCATTTGTACATGAGGTTCCTTATAAATAGTGAAAGATGTTTGACAAGTTAGCGTGCATCTCTCAATTTCAGCCTTTGTTAGATTTTTCATACAATGCTACTCAGAAATTTCAATAACTTTTCTGTAAGTGGCTGTGGATGGTGTTACAGGCAACAATGTCTGAAAAGTGGCCATAAGACAAACCCAAGCACAAGGGCCTTCCTGCAGGCCAAACAGACAGCGGTGAGAGGGTTTTAAGGTGGCTACAGATGGCTGGTTACCAGCTTTCATTGAAACCTTAGACTTCTCCAAAGGATTGTGCAATGAGCCATTGACAATAATTGATACTTCTTGGGCAAATTCAGTGACATCCCAAACTCCCAAACAACAGCTACAAAGGAGATTCATCTAAGTTTTGGTTAAGTAATGGTAATTTCAGTGACAGCTCAGTTTGTTTTTACAGTTGAATCTTTCCACGGATGACAACCTAGAAATTACCACATAACCATTTTAGATCGGTATAGCCATCTCATAAAGAGATGTATCTGTTGTATGGGGTTGTCTGTTACAGATCAGTACTCCAGGGTTGAGGTTCAATGGTGAACACATCTTCAGTCAGTGCCAGTTCATTGTTGAATACTTTCAGTAGTATGACCATCTCCAAAAGAGCAGCCCCTGTACAGTTGTTGCAAAGCAACAAAGTTACCCAACATGCATTATCATGTCATAGTTTTACTGTCACTCCTTCTTATGCTATCACATTAAGTCCTTGTATTAACAAAATGAATGAGAGAGATTTAAAAACTTAATTAATGCTGCTTGGAAGTCACACTGATGTTGTAGTTAGTCTACCATGCTCATTACATGGTATTTTTATTGGGGAGGAAAGAAATTAAAGTGAGCAATAAAATTAAATGAATTATCATCATTGTATATGTTGTTATTTCCCTTCATGTGTATGAAATAGCCACCTTTCTTCTTCAACTAATATGTGTCTGTTTGTTGGCTGACTTGCTGGTAGACTGTTCTAGTGTAGTTAATGTTAGTCAATACATCAGTTTCTTTTCATCACAAAAACATTTTCAGGAGCCAGCTCTGCTTTCTGTTAACACCCTAGCATTAGAATTTATATTCTCCATGCTTGTCTCTTTACATTTTCTTTTGGTACTGACTATGAGAGTTTGTTTGATGTCAAAACTTCTTGGTCTACCAGTCATTTCCTTCAATATCATGATCTTTATGGATTATTCAGCAGTAATGTTGTAAGGAAAAATAAGATGCTGATTACTCTTGGTAGAAGCTTTCACCATCGCCACCTTCTCTCAAGCTACTTTTCCCCTTCCCCTGAATTTTCGTGCCACTCTTTTTGGTATTGTTTAATTACTGAGATTAAAACACAGGTGAGTTTCCTTCTGGAAATAAGACCCTTTGGAATAAAAATATTTCCAAACTTTTTTCCTCTTGATCACAATTGACAAACAATGTGACTGTATGAGATCACAAATTAAACATTTCTTCAATCGGTTCAATATTTTGATATTTTCAACCTTTTTCGCCCCTTGTGTATCAGTGACCTTCCACAACCTCTCAATTATTTCTTTATTTTCGCCAGCAGAAATTTTGTCCAGCGGACTGCATGTTCAGGCCCAGTTTCTCTCTTTATCACGTGGAAACATGGTGGACGAAGTGTTTAACTTTCACAGAGTGATATAAACGTAGTGGCTCTTGATTCGATCCCTTAATCTGAGTATAGCTGAAGTTTGAGAACAATTAAATATGAAATGGATCTCTTCAGAGTGGAGAGATTTATGGGAGATGACGGAAATGAACCAGATCAAAGGGACGAATCAAGAAGACTTGCCCAGCTGCAACGTGATATCGCCGAAAGGAAGAGAAAAAGACAAATGTTAGAGCAGGATGGAGAGAGCTATGAAAGATCAAACAAAATTAAATTTCCGGACTCTAATCAAATGAAATCTGATGTCCAAGAAGAGGTGAAATCAGGGAAGAAAGCCAAGAAAAAGAAACAAAAAACTGCGGAAGAGAATTTGGAGAAGATAAAAGACAAATCGATGTCTAAGAATGGCTCAAAAGAGGAGAACGATGAGGTTAAAAATGATATTCTCATCAATGATTCACAGGAGGAAAGACTTGTTGAAGAGAATTCTGATAAGATAAAGTACAAAAAGATATCAAAGAAAGGCTTAAAAAAAGAGAGGAAAGATGAAATTCAGAATGATAATCCCAACGATGATTCACAGAAGGACAGACTCTCTAAAAATGCCAAAACGAAGGCAGAAAAAAAGGACAACAAAAAGACTCTTTTGAACAATGAAAGTAAGGAAAGAGACTTTGAACAAGAGGACTTTTCTCAAGAAAATGAGGACAATGTAGGAGAAATGTTGGGAGAAACACCACAAGAAAAAAGTGAAGAAACAGGGTTTACTGTGATTGGAGGCCAGAGGAAAAACAAAGAGCTTAAAAAAGTACAGAGAGTGTTACCTGATTGGCTTGCAAAACCTATGATTATTAACTCTGACTTGAGTGCTAATATGACTCCTGTTGACAAGATCCCTTACTTAGAATCTCATATAGTCACAAAACTACAACACCATGATATAAATCACTTATTTCCTGTGCAGAGCATTATCATCCCAGCAGTACTATCTCAAATGGATACAAACAGTTTATTGGGCAGAGGGGGCTATGCACCAGGTGATATCTGTGTCTCAGCCCCAACAGGAAGTGGCAAGACCCTTGCCTATGTGTTACCAATTGTACAGATCCTAATGAAAAGGGTGGTTTGTCACCTGCGGGCATTGATCATCCTCCCTACAAAAGATCTGGCAAATCAAGTTAAACAAGTTTTTGAAATGTTCACAGAGGGTACAAATTTGAGGGTGGGTCTAGCTTCAGGATCAAGTTCATTCTCAAAAAATCAGGAACAGCTTGTTAACCAAGGGTAAGTATTTTGTGTTACTTCAACAAAATATGTTTTTACTCATGACACACATCAGCTTTGTGGCTGATGCTGAAGGAGGTTGGTGTTTCCTTGATGAAAGCAAAGGCTAAAGCAAATGGAAACTTCAAATCCTAACAGTACTATCACTTTTGTCCATATAAACTGGATGCATCTCCATTAGTTACTGAGTTCCATGCAATGCACAAGAATTACTCCTTTCATTTAAATTGTTTTTTTGTCTGCTATATATACTGTATCCATTGGAGATGTGTTGACTTAATGGTTAGTACATGTGAGTTAGATTCCAGGTCAAGAAGATTAGGTTTGAGTCCTGGCCAGGTTGCTTTGTTGTGTTCTTGGGCTAAAGACTTTTCTCTCACAGTGCCTCTCTTCACCCAGGAGTATAAATGGGTACTGACAAATTGTCAGGAGAGCCTGATAAAATGCTGGGGGTAACATTATGATGGATTGATATCCCACCCAGGAGGGAGTAGTAGTACTTATAGTCACTTCATGCTATGTAAACTGGGCTAAATTACAGCTGGATTGGCCACTTCACTTGAGTACAGAATTTACCTATATACCTACCTACCTATTCACTGCATCCGGACGTCAAATAGGTGGATATTTGAGTTTGATGTCTGGAATCAATCTGTAAAGAAAAGTTTCCATTGTCTAGGATTGTGTTCTTAAACTCTTTAACTTTGGGTAGTGACCAAGACAGAATTTCTCCTTAAAATATCAATACAATATCAAAGAGACAAGTGACAAGAAGAAAGAAAAATATCAATAAGGGGATAATAGTTGATCCAATACCAAAAATCTCTGAACTAATGTCTAAAAAACTGTGTGGCAGACAGTGTGGAGAATTACTAATGAGATCTTGGGAGTGAAGGGAATAAATTAAAAGGCATGACTCATTTTTTGCTGCTCATGACAGTGGTTTTGCTTTGTTTTCAGCTCTTGTGGCAGTTGCAGTTGCGTTGACATTCTTGTGTGTACTCCTGGTAGATTAGTTGATCACATTTCATCAACCCCAAATTTTACCCTTCATCACGTAAGATTCCTTGTGATTGATGAAGCTGATCGGCTGTTGAGTCAATCATACCATGGCTGGCTTGGCAAAGTATTGAAGGCTGCCTATAACAAGCAATCTTTCACAAGTGACTTTTTCAACAGAGACAGGTACCAGATAACCCTTTGACTCCTAAGAATAACTAGCATCTAATTTCTCCTTACAATATCACTCCTGAATCAAACATAAAGGTCATGAGAATAAAGGAAATGATCACCAACTAAAGAGGCTTTTGATTGTTAAACAAATTCTCCTTGTCAGCACCTAAGGAAATGTATAGAGAACAGTATGGAGAACATGAATACTGATATTAGGGTGTAAAGGGTTAATGAGCTGAAAAGTTAGTTCAAGTAATACAGGAAAGTCTTGTTATCTTTTGCCTGTAAAGATTTGGGGGAAAGGCATTGTAGGAGACTCTATCTGATAGGGACAAATATATTTTGGGGGCTAAAGATGAGGAAAAAGGGTGGGATTTCACAAGATAAATTATAGAAAGGTTCTTTTGATCCTGTCATCCCAACAAAATTTTTTCCCTCATTCCCCTCATTCTGATGTTTGGAAAGTTTAAACAACCTCAATCTTTGGACATCCTTGCAATAAAATTAAACTGACAACTCCTCTGATTTCCATTTATAACTCTGTCAAGACCTTGTCAGATCACTGGTTTTGCACGCATGCATCTGGAATGTATCAAATAGTTTGTTTCCTTTTCAGGCCATTGTCCTGTAACCTGCAGACAATCAGGCAACCTGCTGGAGCTCAAACAGCAGCAAGTTTTGCAGCCATTCAACTTCCTTTGCAAAAACTGTTGTTCTCTGCAACAATGACACACAGTCCTGAAAAGCTTGCTCCTCTCCAGTTGTATCAACCAACTTTGTTTACTGGGACAGGAAGTGTCAATCAAATGAAAACAACTGATTTTGGTGGACCCACTTCAGGTACATGTGGAAAGTCTTGAGCTGTTTGTTGCATAGTATTAAAAAAGGTGGAGTAGTTCCAGGAGAAGCATGTCACATGAAATGTATAATTTTTATCTTAACTGTTGTAGTTTTGAAAAATCTGCGTTAACATTTGCTGACCAGTAGGCCTCTACTTCGCCCACTTTTAGTTTTGAAGTTTTTGAAGAGATCCCTTAAAATTTTGGTTTGATTGCAAATGGTAACAGTAGCTATTGAAATAATCATTAACATCAGAACAGGAGTTTTGACATTTTAGCAAAGAAGCTTTGAAATATAAACAGCATGTCTTTTGTTTGTATTTTCTTAAGATGTAGCAACATCTGGTCGGTTCAGTGTGCCAGAAGGACTATCAGAATATATGACAGTTTGCAACAGTGGAGAGAAGCCGCTGATGGTGTTGTACTTCTTAACACAACTGAAGTTTGAGCGAGTTCTGTGTTTTGCATCCACACTGGAGGCTACTCACAGGTACTGTGCGTTACCATGCAGTTTCCATGTAGTTTTGCCCATAGCCACAAATGGTACTAAAATTTTAACCTTTTTGTTGAATAAAACCAAATTCTCTTAACCACTGGTGATTTCAAGATGATTTGGTGAAGCTGCACAAAATTTGAGATTTTCTGGGTTCATATTTTTAAGTATTTGTTCCTGTCTGACTGAACCCTGTACATCCTAACATCAGTGTCCAGATTCTTAATACTCCTCTCTATACATTTCCTTTAGTGCTGACAAGGAGAGTTTGTTTGACAATCAAAGCATCTTAGGTTGGCAATCATTTCCTTTATTCTCATGATCCGAATATATAATTCACTGGTATTCCTGTAAGGAGAAATTAGATGCTGGTCACTCTTTGGGTTGAAAGGGTCAATAATCTTTCTTCTTTTTGACTGAGTTCTCTACAGATATTCTTGCTTTGTATCTGTCACAGG